AGGGAGGAAGGGAAGGAAGGAAAGATTGAGGGATGGATGGATAGATGGATGGATGGGTGGGCAAATGGATGAGCAGATGGATGGATGGATGGATGGATGAATAGATACACAGATGGACAGATAAGTGGATAGATGGATGAGCAGATGGATGGATGGATGGATGGATAGATGGATGGACAGACAAATAAATGGATGGATGGATGGAGGAATGGATGAGCGGATGGCTTGATGGCCATGTAAATAAATGGATGGAGAAAGGAAGGAAGGAAATATAAATAAATGGATGGATGGAAGAAAAGGAAGGACAGGTAAATAAATGTGTAGATGGATGGGTGGATGGATAGCTGAGTGGATAGACATATTAATAAATGGATGACTGGATGAGTAGATAGATGGATGAGCAGATGGGTGGATGGGCAGATGGGTGGATCAGCAGATGGGTGGATATGTAAATAAGTGGATGAATGGATGGAAGGATGGAAAGATGGATGGATGGATGGATGGATATATAAATGGATGGATGAATGGTATTCTAGGAATGTGTGAATGAATTCACATTTTCTGTAGATGAGTAATAGAGTTTGGAGAGGAAACTAACTAAATAATGTTCACCTAAACCTAGCTTATTGTAACTTGACAACAAAATGGATTTGTTGCCATTTGTGAGAGAAATCCTGTGTTTTTTGTTTTTGTTTTTGTAAAATGCTATGAGAGGAGAGTGTACCACATGAACTATCCCATTCCCACTTCAAACACTCTAATTGTTGCTGCTTACAGAGGAGAGGCCAAATCAAAATGCCCTGAATAAGCAGTTCTCTAATGCAAGAGGCCTCTTGTGGAATCTGGGAATGAGAAAATTCTAAATGCCCCATTTCTTTAAGACATGAATTGCAAAAAGATGTGGGAAGTCCCACTTCTACCAAAAAAGCTAAAGACACCTTTTGTCAAGTGAATACCCCAGCGTGCTCGGTTTATGCACATGACCTTGCAGACAACCAGTGTCCCAGGAAGGTCCCTGCACTCTGGGCTCTCCAAACCCGGTCCTGGCAGCACACCCAAGAGGGGTTGTTGATGCAGATGTCACGCCTGCCCAGGTGCCCTCATCAGGAAACCTGGGTGCGTCTCTTTTGGGATGCCGATATATTATAACTGAGCCAGTTCCCAGGTCCCACTGAGAACCAGAGCTGCCCCAAGGACACTCCATCCAGGTTAGTTCCCACCACAGGCAGTCGGGCTGCCACGGGCGCTGCACATGTCCTGCGGATTTTATAGGAGACAGCTAGTTCAGGACCCCGCAAAGAAAGCAGCTTTGTGCGACTCTGCTGTGCACAGGCCCGTATTCATATCTCATTGTTGTTTGCAGGAGAGGCAGATGCGAACCAAAACAATGGGACCTCCTCTGCGGACTCGGCGGTGACTGACTCCAAGCGCACAGCGGACCCAAAGAATGCCTGGCAGGACGCCCACCCAGCTGACCCAGGGGGCCGCCCCCACTTGATCCGCCTCTTTTCCCGAGATGCCCCGGGGAGGGAGGACAACACCTTCAAAGACAGGCCTTCTGAGTCCGACGAGCTCCAGACCATCCAAGAAGACAGTGCAGCAGCTTCCGAGGGTCTGGATGTGATGGCGTCACAGAAGCGACCCTCCCAGAGGCACGGTTCCAAATACCTGGCCACAGCAAGTACCATGGACCATGCGCGACATGGCTTCCTACCAAGGCACAGAGACACGGGCATCCTTGATTCCATCGGGCGCTTCTTTGGTGGTGACAGGGGTGTGCCCAAGCGGAGCTCCAGCAAGGTGAGCTCTGAGGAGTAGAGGAGCTTTAGTTTAGGTGGAGAAAAGAAAGAAAAATAATCCATAGGTGAACTAAGTCTTTAGAGGAAGAACTGACATGCAGTGTCCACTAAGGTCTTAGTCTTTGCTGGAAAATGTGTCTCGGCTCAAGGGAGTGGACCGGGGTGGCTGCTTGGGATATTTTTGTGTAACTCACCTTCTTTTTCCTTCTCACAAGGAACTGTGATCAGGGTTTGGCTTGGGAATGCGAGGGCATTCTGAATTCTGGATCTCTAAGCGTGCCCCGGATAGGGGCGGGGCAGAAAGAGTGCCATGTTCCTGGGGGTCTCTTGTGCCATGTGTTTGGGGCTTTCTGACTGCTTTCGCCTCTGTGGCCCACGCTTTGGGGTTCAACATGGGGGATGCTCACTTTTTCTGCAGTCAACGCTGCTAGCTTCATGTTGCTCTGCAAGAAAAATGCAATTGAGCCAACTTGCTCTTTTGTCTGAGTTGTTTAGTGGAAGGGGTGGAGGGGAAAATCAGCATCTGTGAATCAAAGCTTTGTTATTTTGTGATTCCATTCATTTGGATATAGAATCTTGGACGTTTCGTTATTTAAAAGCAAATGTGTTGTGGATAAAAATGTATCACAAGAGAAAAAAAACTACTGCTGTGGAGTCTGGGTTCTAAGAATGGTTTCTAGAATCGATTGTGAATAGATACCCTGTGGCTAACATTTCATTAAAGTGACACTCGGATTGCAAAGACGTAGCATTTCACATGATTTTTTTAGACTGCTGGATAGTTGGGTAATTTTGGAGAGAAAGAAGTTTATTGTTTTTTATTTGTTTGTTTGTTTTGAATACCCCTGTTTTTTTGGGTGTCCTCACAAAACCTGCAAGGTGTGACTTGTTTTGTTGTCTGTGTGTGCTGATTTTGAAGGGCCTTTGGGAATGTAAAAGGGTTTTAAATAAAGTGTGGGGCAGAGGCATCATCCTAATCATTTACCATTGTAAAACCATAGAGCCACTCGGAGTTAAGGAGCTACTAGAATTTGCTCTAGTCTCCAGCTACAGATCTTAAAATTATTGATCATGAAATTGTTGAAGACAAACACGCATGTCAGTTGTGCCCGTCCCATGGGAGTTAAAGCACACTGAGGTTTCAAGCCATCATAACATCTCTACCATCTGCTCCAAGTTGAGATTTTGTGTTGTGACACTTGTCATGTCTTATTTGTAAATGACATTTGATATCTCTTAAGCACTTATGGAATGCACCTTCTGGTTGGCTCCTTCAGCATCTGTATCTGTAGACATTGTCTCTTACTGTGTGGCAGTACTCCCGCTCTCTGAAATGCCCGGCTTCTCACCTGTTTTTAGTACTCATTTTAATTGGAGATGTATTTTCAAGCACAGCTCTCAAACCACACCAGGTATCTGTGGACGCTGGCCCATGAGGTCTTGCTAGTTTGCTTAACCCTCCATACGTGTACAGCCTCACCAGTTTTGTATCCTTAAACCATTCTACTTAGCTCAAGACGCAGGAAAAAAGGTATTTAAATTGTGCAGAAAAGATGAAATAACTGGATCACAAATACTCTAACCAAGCTTCATTTCAGGGATAATGGCTTAAGTTGAAATCAAAGTGAAAACATTTATGTCAATCATTGTAACTTTATCTTAGAGTGGATCTATACATGTAGATCTCTTTTTTCCTTTATGTAAGATCGCAACCTTGATTGTTTCAAATCTTTATGCTCTTCAGTATTTTCAAAGAAAAGACACTAGTTCTCAGAAGTAGTTGATACCTCTGCAAAACAGTGCTACCAGATTACCAAGGATCCAGACAAATCGAAACATTTTCATAAGGTTTTAAAAAATATAAACAATTTTTAAATAATTGTTTTTAAAATTTGAAGTATCGATTTTTTTCACTATTGAGTGTTGAATACAGAAGGTTTTTGCATGAATATGTTGCCCTGTGATGCCAAAAAATCAAATCAAATCCATCAGCTTTTGCACATTGCACTATGTGTAACCACATAGCAGCTTATTACAACACAGCCAGAGCAGGGTCACTGCAGAGGCTTCCTGCGGAAGGCAGGCAATGTGGTGAGCAGCAATGTTGGCTCAACTCAGCTAGTTTATGGTAGAGTCTTTTAATCACTAGAGATGCGAGCTTGGCCCACTCCACACCAAGCTGCAAGCCCACAAGAGCCCCAAGTGCCTGGGGTCTTCATCGGGTGGGCTGCCGTGGAGTAATTTTTTTTATTTTTACTTTTTGTCTTCATTTTTCGTTTTGCTCTGTTTATAAATCAGGAGTACCCTCATTTCTATGTGCTAGCAAGGCCTTTTACATAGACTTAGGAGACTTGCAAAGAAGAGTTGAGGCCTGCTCCCTGTTCCTGGCAACAGTGACAGGCGACCCTGTCCACCGTCATCTGGGATAGCAGGTCCTCTGCGTCTCTCTGTCCAGAACAGATCTTTCATGGTAGAATCCTGCCGGACTCTGAATGGAACGCCCCAACCCCACCTCATCGCCCTGTGAAAAGGGCTGTTTGTCCTCAGGTCCCCTCCTCCATCCTTCCTCCCTCCCCAGAGGGCACGTGCTGCCCTGGTGCAACACGCTGGAGCTTCGCCCCCGGCCCAGGGAATGCATTGCCAACACCTACCCTCTGTGTGACTGGAAGCTCATATTCAAGGGAAAATTCCTTGAGGAGGCATATTCTACTGTGAGCCGCAGATGAAAAGTACATTCACAGAGAGCATGCTTCTTTGTTATGGGAGGAAAGAAAGGGCTGCATTGTTGCCTTTAAGGAATAGGTTTTCCAGTTCCCTGGAATGTGGGTCCCGTGAGGAATAGGTGGACACTTAGGGCAAGCGCTGGAGTGTGCTTGGCCAGGTCTCATCCCCAGTACCATCCCTGTGTCAGTGCTGATGGCTAATGCCACTCACCCTTGACATATTAGCTTGGAGACTGTGCTTTTTCTTTTTGTCTAGAAGAAGTCAGGTTTCACTTACCAAAATCACTGAGCTGGACACAGGGACATAAAACCTGGACAATTCACATGTAAGAATGCAATGAGACAAGGCACAGTGGCTCACTCCTGTAATCCCAGCACTTTGGGAGGCTGAGGCTGGAGGGTTGCTTGAGCCCAGGTGTTCAAGACCAGACTGGGCAAACAAAGCAAGAGCTTGTCTTTACAAAAAAAAAAAAAAAAAATCAAAAAATTAGCTGGGCATGATGGCATATGACTGTAGTCCCAGCTACTCTGGAGGCTGAAATGGGAGGATCGTCTGAGCCCAGGAGGTCAAGGTTGTGGTGAACTGTGATTGTACCACTGTACTCTAGCCTGGGTAACAGGCTGAGATCCTGACTCCAAAAAAAAAAAAAAAAAAGCAACAAGAACATACTCTTTTCTTTCTGTATAGCATATGCTTCTAAAGAGGCTGTTTATTTTTTTTTAAGATAGCTTATATACTGATGATCTTACCATCTCTCTTTATTTATTTTACATGAAAAGCTCTGCTTATAGCCTGCTAGTCTCAGTGTTGTGCAATTCAGCATTCAGTATTATTTCCATGCCTCTACTTTTGACTGTATGGGAGAGCTGTTTGTGCCATCTGATGCTACAAGGTCTTGTAAATTACTCAGAATGTTCGGTTGCCTGATTTCTTCCATTGCATTTTAATTTCATTAAGCATATTTTGATTCTACAGTAACTTAATTCTTCATTGTTAACAAGATAGCCTAATTTTGTATCTGTGTTCTGCAATCCCATGGGGAGTATGATGCTTGGAGACATGAGGGACACAGTAGGGAGCACCGTGTAGGGCACTGTGAGGGTCTGGCCCACGGTCAAGGTGGTGGGCTGCTCAGCTGTAGCAAAGGCAGCCGTGCTCTCTCACCCCAGCTAATTGTGTCCTGCTCCCAAGAGTGCAGCAGTGCACACAGAACCAAACTGAATCTCATCGTGGGCTTATGTAGTCCCTGACCCGGCCACTCAGTGCATCCAATTGACATGAGACTTGGCCAGAGATCCTTCTAGAGAAAATCCAAATAGGATGAGTGCATTTGCTTCTGCACCCAAACCTATGTTTTTGGAGATTTCTTATAGGAATTCCTCTGGAAGTTTTATGACCCTGATCAGCAATCCATCAGAGCTTTCTCTGGCTCTGTCACCAGCTGCTTACTGTGTCCTTCTGTGGTCTCCGTAGCTGCATGTGTCCACCATTGTTGGAGTGGGCAACAGTTAAGTTAGATGGGACGTGCCTAGTCTGTTGCCCCTTCTGTATAGGTGACACGTTTGTAAATGCTGTTGATGTATTAAACGGTAATTGCCTCTGGTGGCTGTATTATGATGTGATTTTGTTATGAACTTTTGCTTTATATATTATATATTTCTGCCTTTTTATGCACTCATTAAAGTTTAGCAGACCAAAGATGGCATACTAACTGCATGTGGACTTTTTTAACTTGTCTATCTCGGTTTCCCTGCCTGAGCCAGGGCACAATGTTACTGGCATTTTTGTGGCCTGGTGACACGTGGCCCACAGGTAAGTGTAAGCACATGAGCTCCTGCACTTCTGTACATGAAGATCACATTTTCTCACTCATCTGCTTTTATCCACAAAGACATTTCATTCTTTTCTCTCCACTGAGGGTGCGGTAGCCTTGTCTTTGGAGCATAGCTATTCTCATTCGTCATCCGTCCTCCCTCCCTCCCTCCTTCTCTCCCTCCCTCTTCCCCTCCTCTCTGCCTTCCTCCCTCCCTCTTTCTCTCTCTTGCTCTCCGTTTGGCTGTAGCTAGTCAAAAACAGACATTTCCCATGGCCATTGACCTTGGTCTTGTAGCAATAGTCTTTCAATCACATCACTCACAACTCACACATCCTCTGTGCAACTAACAGAATGAAGAGAACACACTCACTGAGGGCAGAGCCTACTGAGGAAGGTGTTTAGCCGTGGAGTCTGGTGACGTGTAGCCCTTTCTCTTCTCAAGGAATATTAAGTGCCTCCTTATATTAAGTTCCTAAACTTCACCATAACAAGGAAGAAAGACGGCAAAAAGAACACGACGCCACGTAATTGGCTACAGTGATTTTGAGCACTGTTGCGCCTTAAATAAACTTCCTTGCACTCTACCAAAAGTCAGAAAAGGTCTCATCCTCAGCTCACACAACCCCCACACAGCGGCAATGATTTCTACTCATAAATCCAATGCTAGAAAAGAAAAACATAATAAAACTCCACAAATAAAATGGAATGGAAAATATATCCATCACAGACATCAAAAAGCCCTTTTACCCCAGACAGGAAATGCCTTCTTTACTTAGAAATCTTACATATCTGGTGCCTGCTGCAATATTAAGAATATTTTGGCCAGGCACAATGGCTTACACCTTGTACTCCCAGCACTTTGAGAGGCCAAGGTGGGAGGTTCTCTTGAGGTCAGGAATTTGAGACCAACCTCGGCAACATAGCGAGACCTCTTCTCTATAAAAAAATCAAAAAATTAGCCGGATGTTTTGTTGTTGTTTTTTTTTTTTTTTTGAGTTGGAGTCTCATGTAATGGCACGCGCCTGTAGTCTCAGCTGCTCGGAGAACTGAAATATAAGGATCACCTGAGCTCAGGAGGTCGAGGCTGCTGTGAGTCGTGATCATGCCACTGCACTCCAGCCTGGGTAACAGAGTGAAACCCTGTTTCTAAAAAAATATAAAAAATGAGGACATTTAGTCCCATGCTTTGGTGCAAGACCCGAGAAGAGACTCTGGGTGAAGAGTGTTTTACCCTCCATCCTTCATGCTTTAGTTCCCTGAGTCCTGGGAGACCATATGGTCCTCTCCTTTCCCACGGACCCTCCCAGTCCCTCCATCCAGCATCCACACACCTTCCCTGCTGACCGCCCTCCTCTCACCTTCACCCCGTCACCCCACCTCACCTCCGGGGTCTCGTCAAGAACATTTGCTGAGGACTGTGGGGCTCTGCCGGCGGTGCCACCTGCACTCACATGCCCGTCTGTGTCCCTCGGCAGGTACCCTGGCTAAAGCCGGGCCGGAGCCCTCTGCCCGCGTATGCCCGCGGCCGGCCCGGGCTGTGCAACATGTACAAGGTAAGACGCCAGGGCCAGTGTGACCTGTCTTCACCTGGGCTCTCTAGAATGTGTAGCCTCCACCAGTGGATACAATGCTTTGGGGGGCTTACTGCTATCTCTGGGGGCGAGTGTGAGAGCAAGGGACACAGGCCCAAGGGGAGGTAAGCGAGGAAAGGACAGAAAGACTAAGAAGCTCCCCAGTGGGGACCCTCAACACAGGATGCAGCCAACAGTCAGGACAACAGGCAAGCTCCATGGCAGCCTTGCTTGGCTGGTGACACCCACAGGTGTGGAGGGTGACCAGCAGGGTGCTGGTCTGGGAGGGCTGGCCTGGACCACGGCCATGTGCACACCCATGCTCAAGCCTGCTTTGAACACCTGTACTTACCAGATACTTAGTACTTGCTAGATGTTAATTGAAGTAAACTCTACAATGACTATGAGTGTCATTGGGAAGTCCAGTCCCTCAGGGCTGAGCTTTGCATGGGGTGAAAGACATCTCTGGGGTCGGTCCTCATCTCTCAGTGTGGCTACTGTGGCTTCTCAGAGCATGTAGGGACCATGGAGTGGTTGCGAGGACTAGGATGGCAGGGAGAAGGGGCAGGGGACATGCCTGGAGCGGCTGCTGAGGTCACTGTGAGCAGGGCTGTTGCTCACGGACCATAAGCAGTCACCACACACCTGCGTCCATGGACCACACTCCCAGATACAAGTGGTCACCATCTGTACCCAGCACCTAGCTTTCCAACCTGGGAACATGCAAAGGTCGGAAACATGCTCGACACCTAAGTAGCAAGGGTGTGACTGTGCCTTCTCCACAGAGCACCAAGTGCCAGAGGGAGGGTGCTGGGGGAGGGAGGAGTCCTCCACGTGGAATACTTCTCTTGAGAGGCACTCAAGGTGGGACATCCACACTGAAGGAGGCAGGGAACAGGGGACAGGAGGAGCACCTGCAGCCACTGAGACTCCAGAGCCCCTGGAAGATATGCACTCCCTGTCACTGCGAGGGCTGTGGAACAGGCAGGGTGCTGCTCTCCAGGGTGGCCACGTGTCCAGCCTCATGTCGGGCTGTGCCCCACCAGGCAGATGTGGATCATTGAGGCCTGAAGGGGGAACCCACCAGGCTCAGGACGGCCAGCCCGGGACAGAGGCAGAGAGGCAACAGAGGAAGCCAGACCCGGGGCAGGAAGATCCTTGGGGGTAGAAGTGGGACATGTCGCTCCAGTAGTGACAGGCAGCCTTGGTCAGAAGCAAGATGTCTCCCTCAGCCACAGGATTGGAGATGTCTCTGGCCTGGAGAGCCTGGTAGTCTGGGCTGGACACCTGTTCCCAGGGTTTAGGTTTCACTTGAATCATGCCTCTTTGGCTGTGTCCTTTCACTTGATTTTCAAGGGCTCTCTCACTGAAAGACATAACACACAGCAGCATTCCCAGGGAGTTTCTGAGGGCCCCTGTCCCTGAGGGAGGCTCTAATTCCCTGGGACACAAGGGCCCTCTCTGGCCCTGGGAGAGGCTGCAAACACTGACCTATGTCAGTGGAGCCACTGAACTGGGCGGGAAGGCAGATTTTTAACTCTGCAATGAGGTATGTTCGATGTGTGTGGGGAGCACAGGATGGACACTACCCCCAGCATGTTACAACCTGACAGGTAGGGACAGCTCACCGCACCCAGAACTCACCAATGCCTCCCTACCTCCTCTCACTTGAGGTCAACCCCATCCACAGGAGGAGGCGGCTTTGCCAGAAACCTGGGACACAGAGCAGAGCAGGGAGGGTGAGAGGCCCAGGCCTTGGCGTCAGATAGTAGTAAGAACTTCCACAGAACATTTGATATTTCTCTTTTAAAATGTCATTTAGCAGAGGCCCTTCCACTCTGCACACCTTTGTCTTGGGCAGATTTTCACACATAGCCTTTAAAACCAGGCCAAGCATAAATAACCACTTCAAGGACGCCACCTGTGAGTGGCTGCCAGAAGTTTATAGATGTCTCTGACCTGGAGACCACGTGTCGCAGGGTCTTGGAGAGCATGGAGCGTTCAGCTCAGGCCCTATGTGGGCATCATCTGTGCATCTGCGGGTGCCCATGCTGGTCGAACTAGGATTTGGACCGGCTTTCCCACAAGTACACTAGCAGAACATGAAAGCATATGAGGAAGTGTTAGATGGCAGTGTGTGTGTGTGTGAGTGTATGAGAATGTGTGTGAATGTGTATGTGAGTTGAGTGTGTATGAGTGTGTGAGTGTGTGTGTGTATGTGTGTGTGTGTGTGTGGTATTTATATGTCTACAAAGTGAAGGGAAAATGAAGATACGTCTAAGGTGAAGCAGAAGGCCAAGACAGGCTGAACATGGCTCCTGACAGACAGGGAACCCTTCCAACCGTCCAGAGCCACATCTGAAGCACCCTCCAGCACACTCAGCTGGGCCATTCAGATGGATGCCTTTCCTGAGGCTGTCCCTGAGGACGTCACAGGGAGGACCCAGGGCTGTCTTGAGAGCCTGGACCCTTCTCGAAGACACTCGCATTTCCTCATCAAGTAGATGAGCCCCGCTTCCTGCCCCCCTCCTCCCTGAGAAGGAGCTTTGGTTACTTGGCGTGTGCTCCTCCAGGCCTGGGATTCCCCATCACCACACGGAAGTGGCATGTTCTTGAGGGCATGGACTTCAAGGCCCCAGCACGGACTGCAAGGTGAAGAAGGCACTCTGCAGTTTACAATGCACTGGTGGTCCCGGGATTCCACACAAGGACACCTGAAGAAGGCTGTGAGGAGGTCAACTACAGGCTGGCTTGCTGGACAGATGGACGGATGGACAGATGGATGGTTGGACGACCTAGCACCAGGAGTGAGCGGAGTCAGAACCGGGACCTTCCTCCTCGTGGCTTGGAACCCACAGCGTCCATGAGAGATGGTGGCAGTTAGACCCTGTGCTGACCTGCCTCATACTCTGCTTTCTGTGCCCTTTCCCCATTTGCCTCTCTCTATATCTATCTCCCTCTGTCTGTCTGTCTCCGTCCCTGTCACTCTGTCTCTGTCACTCTCCCTTTTCCTCTTTCTGTCCCTTTATCTCTGTCTGCCTCTCTCAGTCTCTTTCTGTTTCCCTCTGTCTGTCCCTCTCTCTGTCTGTCTCCGTCCCTCTGTCTCTCTATATCTTTCTTTCTATCTCTGTCTATGTCTGGCTCTGTCTGTCTCTATCTATACCTGTCTGTCGCTCTGGTCTCTGTCTGTCTCTGTCTATCTCTGTCTGTCGCTCTGTCTACAAAGTGAAGGGAAAATGAAGATATGTCTATCTCTGTCTGTCTCTCTGTGCAAAAACACCAGGAAGGTTGAGAGAGCCCAGCCTGCTATGACCTAAAGGTCCCAGGTGAGAACACATCGGTTCCGGTGCCATGTGCGGCTCAAGGAGCACAGCCTGCCAGGATCTCTGTCCAGAGACTCACATTGTCCCAGGACTCACCGAGGTCACTCCTCTGAGGACAGGAAGGTGGGTGGCAAGGGTACACATAGACAGATGCCAAGATGCTGGAGAACCCAAGGCAAGTTGAAATGTGAGAATTCCCAAGGAGCGACACACGGTGGGAACAACCATCAGGAAGCAGGAAAACCTTTCTCTAAGTCCCCCGTCTGCACAGCTCTGCACAGCCCCCCACCCACCCACCCACCACTGTGAGCCACCGGTCTCTAGGCTTGGCACTGGGCCTGGCACCTGCATCTGTGCTGGAGACTGGAGCTGAAGAAAGGGCCTGCCACACGGCTGGAAATGGTCCTGGCTCTGGGGCTGGAGATGGAGGATGCGTAGTAAGGGTCTCTGCCATGGGCTCCATCAGCTGCCGTCCCCGCCCCTCTGGAAGCCCCTTCTGCCTCGTGTGCACAGAGCCCCTGTGCTCCCGGCCTAGGGGAACCCCGTCCACTTCTCTGTTGTCAGCCCTACAGACATTCCCTGCTTCCAGTCTAGCAACCATCACTGCAGCCCATCGGGGCTTAGGAGGTAAAACACTCCATGCCATGGGGGCATGGCTGTGAGAACCATGGTGGCATGTGACCTGACCTGGCTGACCTCTGCATTCTGTCAGCTCACCTACAACACCACCACAGCAATGCGGTTGTGACCTGTACTGCGGACACCAGGGGGTTATGATGATCAAGTGAGAAACGCAAATGCTTGCAGGCCCCGGTTCTGTTCGGCCCCAGCGTCTGCAACCCCGCTACTCCCCTCACTCCAGCTGCTCCAGGAAGAGCTTCCCACGGTGCCACTGAGGAGGACGGCACTGGCCCTCAAAGACCTGGTGGGCCATGCCTCGTGGTCCTGGCCAGTCGTGGCCTCTGGGCCAGTCACATTTCTGCCTTCAGGCCTCAATTTCCTCAGCCGTGAGATGGAAGTATCTGGTGAGAGATTGCACATCTGTGAAGACAACAATCCGCCAGCCTTGTTTCCCTGTCGCCTCCAGGGGAGACTCCCACGTGTGATAGCACAGCCCTCACCCTCTCCAGGAGTGATCAGGAGAAGACTCAGGGGACATGAGCCTTGTCAGGACTTGTCCTGCTCCCAGGACTCATGAAATCTGGAGTGTCTTGGTATCGCTCACGCAGGAAGGTCACACATGCCCTTTGCTGGGACTTTCAGGTGTGGTGAAACTCATCTCCTCGCCATTTCCTTAAAAAGCACCTCTGACCAGGTTGGTGTGGTATAGGCGCCTCACCCAATGGTCCCGCGGCTGCCTACAACACACCTGGTTCCTTGGGGAACACTGCACAGGTAAGGGCCTTCCAGGGCAGGGACGCATCCCCTGCACCCATCCCGCACCCAAGGCTGGCTTTGCTTTTCATTCCAAAGAAGATGTTCCAAAACCCACGTCCCCTAAACTACAGGCAAGCCATATCCTGTGCAAGGATACAATGGATCACAAAGCCAGGAAAGGGGCATTCTGGGTCATTGTGTTGGGCTTATGCCACTGTTGTAGCTCGATGTTTAGACTAAAAGAGTTCAGAAACATTGAAGTCTTTAGAAACAGGTGCTCAG